CCGGCGGCGGTTCGGGCTCCCCCCGCCGCCCAACCGCGCGGCTGCCGGAGGGGGCTCCGGCGCCCGCGGGTGGCCGCGACGACAAATTTCCTTTGTAATTTCTTTTTTTTTTTTTTCTTTTTCCCTTTGGGGGGGGCGGGGGTAATTTGGAAGTCTGATAGTGTGTGGGAAACGATTACATCAGTCGGAGGGAGGGCTAGGATTGGTCTACACGGTGTGGTTTGATTCACTACCGCAAAGATTGCGTGTAACCCTTTGAGTGGAGCTCCGGCAGAGTTGTTTCCCTCCCCAGAAGCAGTCCCCGTCGCCGGGGCTCCGTGACAGGTACGGCACCGCCGACCGCCGGCACCCCGGGCGCCCGGCCGCCGGCCGGCTGCCGCCGAGGCTCGGCGGAGGCAGAGCCCCAGCCCGCTCCCGAGAGGCGATCCCCGCGTACAATGCCATCTTGTTCCTCCGACTGCTGCCTCTTACGTGCCGCCGAGGTAAGGTTTTTCGCCCTGCCCGGCTGCCCTCCGGGGTTTTTTGTTCGTCGGTCGGTTCGCCTCCTCTCGCCAGGATGCGACGCGGGGCGCTTGCGGCGGGGAGTTGATGGAAATCTCGGACCCGCGCGTTAGCCCGGAGGAATAACGTTGTGGCAAGCAAGCGTCTCTCGCCTGAGCAGAACAATGCAGAGGGGAGAGCATCTGTATAGTGCTGGAGGTGGGGAGCGGGTTCCTGACTTGCTCCCTCACCTCCATTAATACTCGGGGTGGGCAGCGTAGGCACGTTCGGTCGCAAACTGCCCTCGAGCCCCGATCGAAAGAGAAGTCGGGACAGGGAGAGAAGTGTCCGGACGGTGCTAGCTAATCGATCCGCCAGCGAACTGCAAGCGGGACTTCCCCGAGCGAAGCCATCAAAAGTTAGTGGGGAGCACGAGAGCCATTTTCAGTCTTCGGGGTCTTGGCCTGCTCCTCTGTAAATGTTCGGAGGCCTCCGACGGGACCGCCAAGGAAATTGTGTGTTTGACCGGGTGTCGTTTCTCTCGCCCACCGTTGCCGAAGCGCTCTCTCGATACTGCTTCACATTCGCTTACCTGACGCGGTTTCGTAGGGAGCCTGCTCTCTCACTTTCTCTGTGTGTGTGGTCATATTAACCCTGCTGAATCTTTGCTTAGTGCAGGGAGGTGTTGGGGGGGGGGGGGGGCGGGAAATAGGGCAAGGGGGCCTCGAGAGAAAGTGTTATAAAGTGAATCATCCATGTCATTTGTCCTGGCTGCCAAGGTGCTCGGAACCATCACACCGAGAGGATGCTTTTCTACGGTAGCTGTGTGGTTTGCCGATGTTCAGAGCTGTTGATCTGTAAGTGTACCCTTTATGTTGCAGGATGTAAAAGTCTTTAGTGAAGATGGAACAAGCAAAGTGGTCGAGATTCTAGCAGACATGACAGCCAGGGACCTCTGTCAGCTGCTCGTTTACAAAAGTCATTGTGTGGATGATAACAGCTGGACTCTAGTGGAGCATCACCCTCACCTAGGATTAGGTAGGGAACGGTCAAAGGGGTGGCATGGTTACCTGGGAACATAAAATATGTGTAATTCGTATTAATGTGCTTCCAGCCGGAACGTTTTCTTTCCACTGTTTTTATTTGTACAATTAGCTGAAGTCACATACGTGCTCTTTGTGCATTGCAATTTGATGTGTTAAGCGTTTAAGCCATTTTAAGTCCTCCTCTCATTTCCCATCCTCTGGTTTTCTGTTATAAAAAAGAAAAATAATTGTCTAATCTCCACGCTGGCATTCTGTTGCTACCTTGCTGTGTCTGAAGCTATTGCAAATAAACAGCTTAGGCAAATTAAGCTTGATCCTTAGAGTACCGGTCCTGTGAAACAGCTCAGCTCATCACCAGCTGGGAGACCTGGGCGAGCAGACTCAGCTTTGCATACCTACAGTAATGCTTATGAAAGCTAGGCATGCTGAGGGGGGGGGAGGGGGGCGGCTAAACTTGACTTCAGGCAGGGAAAAAATGGTGGCACCACCCGCAAATCCATGGGCAATTTCTGGACCAGCGGTGGCATCTGCTCTCCAGGCAGCAGCTCTTCCACCTGATTGAAATTAAGGTGTCATGGTTACAGTTTCAAGAAGGCAGCCAGAGGAAGAACTGTGGGGAATTAAATAACACCGTGAATTGGTTTAATTACAGTACCTGAAAGGATCTCATGTTATTCAGTCTTGCTCCTCCTGTTATTTTGTGGCACTGATTAGTTGCAGGGTTCTGCTGTGCAGCTTGCAACTGCCTATTGCTCAGATACGCTATCTATAATTCTGCATAGCGTACAATAACGCTTTAGAAAGTGTAGCATTTGGAGTATTAGTCGATACACTTCACGGGGAATTTTTTTCTAGAAAATAGAGGAAGATAAATTAGAAGCTGTGATCGCCAGCACTGGAATTGTGAACGCTCTCCTAACGCAGCTAACAGAGGGTTTTTTTAATGTCTAAAAATGTAATTCAGAACCCTTACAAATAAAAAAAAAAAAAAAAGGAAACAGTTTGCTGGAGATGTACTGCCCTAAACCGATACTGTTAAATGCAGATAAATTCACTGCTCTACAGAGTAGCACAGAAAAAAAAAAAAAAAACCATAGGATATCCTGATTATTTAATGGTTTTATTGGTTGTCTCTCCCAATACAGAAGTATGTGAAAAAATTAACATGAAACACTCGTTTGTATATGCCTGTGATATACTTTCAGTTCTGAGGACGTAGGACGAGGTGAGGAATTAAGGTATAAATTACAGAATCTTTATCTCCATAGCTTAATACGCCACATGCGCGCTTCTAACAACCTTTACAAATTTTCAGTTTTATCAACGCTCATTAAACTACCAGGCTCTCTTTTTCTATATTCTCTTTCCCATCATTGCTGATTACCAAGGTATTGTGTAAACAGAAGCCTTCTCCTTTGTAACCAACATCCTTCTCCTGCCAGATTCATTCAATGATGCCACAATTCAGTGTTTGTGACATCACAATAGCTTCCATGGTGACTAATTGTGCTGTCAAACTCTGGTGTGTGACATCTCTGAATGAATCGGGCAGGAGGCTGATTAGGAAATCAAAAGCTTCTGTTTACACACAAATAACTTGGTAATTAACAATGATGGGAAAAGAGCAAGATACTTATCGGGCTGCATTTATATACATGGGGACCTGCCTGCCTCGGACCTCTGTTTTACACTGGAGCACAAAGCGGGGCCCCGGCTGTCCCAGGGAAGCGGGGTGTGCAGGTTGGGGCTTCAGCAGCCACCAGACTTTTTTGCGCAGGGGCTGCTGCGGGGCTGTCCTCCGTAGGCCACGCAGTCGAGCTGCGCCAGAAGTAATGCAGCCTTTGAGGGCGTAAAGCGAACAGACAAAGAAAAAAGCATCCGAAGCGTCAAAAAAGCTGTAGCGGTACAGATTTCACGTATTTGAAAGGATGTGGACAGGAAAGGGAACAGAAGAGTTCATTTAACGGGAGACCACAGCAGCGTCCACTTTCTTGCATTTGGCGGCCAAAGTATGCACTGTGACATATTCAATAAACTTTAAATACCAGCTTTCACGTGTCCACCCAGTTTTGGTTGCAGTTTGAAATTTTTGTTACACGGCTGCTTATTTCTAGCTTCTCAGTAGCTTAAATGCTTCCCTGTATTTCAGAGACTGTCAGATCAAGGTAGTAATCTGTCTACACCTTAGGTGAAGCTATCATCAGGTGTCTGACGTTCCATATTTTTCCCTCTAGAAATAAAGATTGCTAGTATAAATATGAAACCACGGTGAACAGATACTTAGCAGTGTAGGGAAAGAAATACAGTTTAAGAGCAGTGAGAATTCTGTGTTTCCATAAGACATTATTTCTTACTCAAGACATGCTTGCTGACTTAATGCTGTAGGTGGTAATCTTGAAGCCCGCCAAAAGAGGTGAGTTCCTTCATTAAGTTCACTATGGTTTTTTTTTTTCCCCCCTTGGTCTTGGCTGATACAACTTTCCAAAAGAGCTGAGCTTGCAGAACCAGTTCATCTTTTTACTGTTGGGCAGACTGAGGACAGGAGCAAATTTTTGAAGCCAGCTGCATATTTGTCATTGTGGTCATCTTCTAGGTCCCAGTTTTTAAGGAACCTACACCTGACTGCTTGCTTTGCACACATAGTCAAGTGTATTCCAAATAACAAGTGTGCTTGCAAGTAACTTCAAACGGCTATTGGACCACACAAAGTACTTATGTTCTCGCTGGAGGCAATGGCGTGACAATTTACCATCAGACTTGCTTAGATTTGACGTGTGGAAGTGGTTCCTGCCGCACTGTACCACTAGTATCTAAAACACTTTGTGGTCAAGATTTAAGCAGCCTGTGACACTTGGCTTGGTCCCATTATTTCATTTGCAACTAGAAATACACCTAACCTGCTCATAAAATGTGGTATTCTCCCTATGTGCTACTCCATGCTTAACTATCACCAATTTAGGATGAGGACTGAGATATCTGTATTGGACGTTAACAGAAATAATAATAATAATAATAATGATGATGAAAACAGACTGTCATGATAGGATGTGTCTGGACAGTGAAAGAATCCCTACCTACAAACCTCATTTTTCCAGCTGCAGAATTGACTGTACATCTTACTTAATATAGTTGAAACAGGAAAGAAAAGTAGTAGGGCTCTGAGATATATATGGGGTTAGAAGAAAAAATTGCTGCATAGTTTTATGCATAGCTTTTCTTGTTTATATGTACATTGAGTTTGATTTGCCTTAATCTGAACGAATTAAAAATGGAACAGTTAGACACAGCGCTTGCTAAAATACGAAAGCGGTGTGGGCTATTTCACACTTTGGTCCACCCGTCATTTGTAGTGATTCTCCAATTGGGAACTTGGGGCCATGCCTGTGAGTTGTTCATGATGGAATCCAGCTCCTTTTCCCATCTTGTATCACTTCTACAGTTCTGTAGAAGTTCAGATAATAATACAGGGCAATTGGGCGGGGGGGAAGTCTGTCTTGTTCTTCTAAGTGTGTAGAGGAGGCTGAGTTGAGCCTATCAGATAAACTAAAAGGAGACATTTCTGGTCACTTCAGCAGCAATGCCACTTGAAGACAGACTGACCTATTGAACTTAATAGGCTGACATCTGTGCTTCTAGTTCTGTAGCAGGAAGCTCAAAGCAGGGCTGAGGTTGAGTTGCTGGTGTGTCAAGTGGCAGTTCATCCCACTTGTACTAACCAAGTGCAAATTACCAAGGACTTTCCAAGGGGACAACTTCTATGAAGTAGTACCAAACTGACCAGGACTAGCTTTCTTTGTACATGCACGTGCTATGAAATGCTGCACCTTTTCTTCAGGATGGTTTTCACCAGTAAAATGAAAGCATAAACATTAAATCAGCGGGAGTATCACCACACAGTCTCAAAAGGGTCTTGATTTAGTAAAGAGAGAGATCTAGGTCAGTTGCCTAAAGCATCTCAGAAACAGTCACTGGGTATATTTACACAAACTAACGGTCAAAATACAAAACAAATTGATAAATGTTCACCCATAACTGCATTTCCTCAGGCAGGACAGAATGAACAGGATGTGGTTTGTCCCTGCCCTTAGGCGAGCAATCTTTACTGCATTAGGACAGCGAAGACCACAACTTTGTGCGATGACAGAAGCAGGCAGTAGCAGGACGTGGGCTTTCGGGGTTCATACGGTGATGAAGATTCATACCAACACAGTTAAATGTTTTTTCAGAGGAAGCATAATTTAAAAAGCAGAAAGGCCCTCCACCCTCACAGGCCCACCATCCTCATCACAGTGTGGAGGAGGTTTGACATAACCAGTTGCCTAAAACCCTGGCAGCAGCAATAGACCAGGAGCAATACCTGAAACTTCATCTGTGGAGGTCCACGTGATGAATGCTCAGGTGGTGCAAAATGTCCTTAATTAACTGCTACCAACAGCAGTATTGTCGTGTGCATTAGTCGAAGAACTAACACCCTTAAAAGTGGTGTTAGGGCTGATGCACTAAGAGGCAGCTCTTTATTTGAGAGCAGCCCAGTATGGAAAATCTTCAATGTTAACCCCTTGAAACACAATCTGTAGCGAGGCTGGACGTTGCAAATGCACAGTAAATGCTGAAGTCATCAGTGAGCTGGTGATGACTGACAATCTAAATGCAGGTGAAAAAGACAATGGGATCACTCAGAGATAGGTTAAATTTTCAATCAAAAAAATTACATTAATCTGCTAAGTTGAATAATGCCAGTGACGTTCAAGAGCTTGCTACTTTTTGAGATGGCAGTGACTGCTTGCTTTCTGTCCTGAAAACACCCCAAAAGAACTTGGGTGGCAGCCTGATATTTTTAACCGTGGGAATGTGAGGATGCAGGAACATGAAGTGGGGAAGAGAGTCTCCGAACTTCTTTGGCCAGCAAGTCACACTGCGTTTTGGATAGAGCTTTGCGAAAGTTATTTTTTTGTTTGACCTCATTTTTTTTTCCCCTATTACATGAGGGATGAAAATACTAACTATTAAGACTTTTGAAAAATACCTGAATATTTTCTCAGAAACTGTGGAAGATTTGCTGAGATATGAGTTCCTGAAGTAGTGCACACGTAGCCCAGTTGCCTTCTTTCGAGTTCCTGCTTTCAGTGAATTGGATTTGTTAAGCTATCTGTTCATGCTTTGATGTGCCATTCTTTTGACCAGAGAAGTGGTGGTTGTAGGGAGTTACCTTGTAACCAAATCTAGAGCAGAAAATTGCCCTGTCATGTGTACAAAACATTTGTCTCTGTCAGTATTCCTGTAAAGTAGATCCTGTGACCTCTTTCATAATAAACCCCATTGTCCAGCATCTACAATAAAGGCCTGAAGTTCACCTTGAAATGAACTGGTTTCATAGAGTGTGATCAAATAGGACACTGTATTTCTGTGATAGTTCAAGACCTAACGGTGGCCTTGCTGCAGCTTTTTTCCCCTTAAATCTGTCCACCTTGCCAGTTCCACAGCGTACAGCCAGCACCAAAAGAAGAGGTTTGTGTGTATTATTTAAGCTACTGCACACAAAAAATCTTACATTCTTTTCTTTCTGAAAAGTCTGAGCTTATGAAACCCTGATGCAGGAAATCTTTGAAGAATGCTGCCATGTAACATTCAATTTTGGAATGCTTACACCCTAGTTCCTTTAAATGCCTCGTGGCAGTATGGTTTGAAAGCTGTAATATGTTTTGTTAACTTCTTAAAAGGTAATGGAATTACACTGGGTTGTTTTACTACTGTTCTTTGGGAGTTGGTCTCGCTGCTTCTGCTGGTTGGCTGTGTGATGACATCATGTTCTTTTTCCACAGAGAGGTGCTTGGAAGATCATGAGCTCATAGTTCAAGTCGAGTCCACAATGGGAAGTGAAAGTAAATTTTTGTTCAGGAAGAATTACGCAAAATATGAATTTTTCAAAAATCCCATGGTGAGTCTCATTACTTAGTTGTTTACACCACAGAGAGAGGGATGGATTGCAATAACATTGCTGGGCGCTGTTATGTCTTTAAACATCTATTTAAAAAAAACAAAGCAACCAACCAACAGAATTCTTTCCAAAGAAATTTTAACCAATGTTTAAATTCCTTGTACTGTCCTCCCAGCCTAGAAACCCCAAGTGTTTTCAAGTTACCAAATATACTTGTTTCAAAATGGCTATTGTTATGTTGGAGAGTGACCAAGACAGGGAAATATTTGTTGGTTTAAGAAAAACAATAAGAAGTGCAATTTACTCATTATCTTCAAAGTTGCTTGATTTGAAGCAAATTGATTGCATGGCATGCAGTATCCAAACCTTTTAATTTCTGACAGTAATAATTTAAAAAAAACCCTTTGGGTAACCCCTAAAGCCCTTAACTACATACAAGGAATTTCCAGTTTATTGTTACATATCTTGAACAGTGTCTCACCTATGGCTGTGCTTTACTAGTGTGCTCTGCCTTCTTTACTGATCACAGTAACTCACCCTCTCTATGGCCTCATGTATAGCCATGCTTGAAAAGTATTGTATGTCATAGCCGTACTTATTGCTGGATTTGTAAGATCCTCTGAATGTTGTAGTTTTAAACTGTTTGCAGTGTAACTGCTTATTTGGGGATGATTTTTCACATTTTACCTAAACAGCTAAGTTGGAACAGGCTGTTGACACGAACCGATGTCAGCTGGTGTGACCTATCTAGATAGCTGAAGGAGGATAATCCAGAGGTGGTTTAGGTGAGAACAGATTTTGGGTCAGTCGGGCATTTGTGGTGGCAGAAGAAAAAAGAAACATGAGGTCACACGGAAAGCTCGTTGCTGAATTTACCGTGGATGATACATTCATTCCTTTCCTCATAGGCGTTAATGCACAGTTGCTGCATCCTCACACGTGTGCTTGCACGTACATTCGTCATCTGCTAGTTCTTGTTTCGGAGGCTGTGCCTCGACTTACTGTGTGAAACATTTCTGTACATGGAGTGTTTGTAATTTTTCACTTCTGTTGATCTTCCCATCTGATAACCTATGAACATCTGAGTGTTGTACAGAAATTTTGGTATCATAGGAGCTAGCACATTGGATTCATGTGGTATACTTTAATTAATAACAGAGCATGGGAGTAAAACCCAGAATGCTTGGCATTCAGTCCCAGGCTCCTGCAATCAGAGAATAAATCATTCCTTTGGTGGTGCAAGAATGCGAAGGCTCCCTATCCGTTCCATTAGCTGTTGCCATATGGCACTGTTTCTACTCAAGAGAGGCTGGTAAATGTCAGCTTTCATAATTCATTGTGCAACTTACCTGGCAGAAGGGTGATTCCTCTTCAGCCCTTCTCTTTATGCCCCAAATACTGAAATTTATATTGCCTGAAGACCGACGAATGTTCTAAACTGGAAACGTTTTTGTTGTGATTCGTCTTGTTATAATCAGTCATTGTTTTATTTCAGGCATTTCTGCATGTCTTCATGCTTCATATAATGTTTAAAAACTTGAAGAATGACTTAATGTAATTGCTGTGTATAGTAAATTCAGTGAACCAAATTATACAGGCATTTTAAAACATGGCAAATGAAAAGGGGAACTGGAGGAATAAATCTGAAGTCAAGTCATAGATTTACCAGTGAGAAAACTGTCTGACCTTTGTCATGCAAAGATTCAGTATGAGTGAGATCTTGTACCAGATGCCTGAAATCGAAAAGCTCTGTAGAAGCACCTGTTTGCGTGTTTAACAGTATTTGCTTCTGTGTTTGTGGGATGGGGGAAAGGAGGGAGATGTCTGCTTTGAGATTGTTCAAATCTAGCACGTGAAGCAGGGCATACGACACAGAGCTAATTATTGCACGTGTGTCCTCCTTCAGTTTTTATTATTTCATTTCATGGAATGTGTGCTGACCTATCCTTACAAGAAAAAAACACTGGGCTCTGTTATGTTACCCTGAAGTATAAACGTGTAGGGGTAGATTTTGCAAAGGGCTTTTCTCTTGACAGATTGAAGGGTTTCAAGCCCTGAGCATAACCTGTCTGTTGAACAACCAAACGAAGCATCAACAGTCACACGTGAGCTCTTTCTCACTAGTTAAGGTCTGTGAATGGCACTTCATTTGGAGCCTTCTGAGGGACTGAGCAGGTTTAGGGTCAAGCAGATACAGCACTGAAGCACTGTATTTTGGATAGAAAGAGAGTGCTATCAAAGGTAAAGGTGTATGTACTGGAGATCCTGCAGCACCCCCGCCTGAGACTTCTTCTAATGCATTTGCATCCAATTTACCCCTGTGAGGGTAGAGAAAACTTGTTATTCCTCCTGCTCTGCATTGTCCGCACGGCAAGTGGAGTTACAGAGGGTTTGTTTGCTGAACAGCCTTTCTGGACGGAGAGGGAAGCCCAGAACTTTGGTGACAGAATATGCAATAAGCAAGGAGTCACTGCGTACCCAACCGCAGGACCATTCATCCTGTCCTTTCCTAGAAAGTAGAGGCTGTTAGAGATCCCCGAGAGCCCTCAAAAGAAGGGGAAGCGATGGGAAAATGCACTTATGAAATGCTGCATATCAGATATTTTAAAAATCCACATTCTGTCTGCATGGGCGTTTGGTGAGCAGAAGGAAGGGAAGAGCTACACTTGAAAGCCCTAGTATTACTTTCTGTGTCAGGGGATCTCCAAACTGATTCAAGAGTGATAGTTTCAAAAAATTAATGACTGGAAGAAAATTCCACTTGTTCTGTGTAAAAGTGTTCAAATATAATGTGACTTCCAATTGTTTTCTCTTTCTGTGTCTAGAATTTCTTTCCAGAGCAAATGGTTGCCTGGTGCCAGCAAACAAATGGCAGTATCCCACAGTCACAACTTTTGCAGGTACTGTAAGTTATCCATATGGACAAAGAAAGTTTTGAAGCTGGAGGGGAGAGGTTGAGAGGAAGGAAGGGAGAGTTCAAAGGTCTGGAAATAGCTGGTCAGAGAAAGATCAGTGTAGTAAGTTAGCATATAGTACTAAAGTTCAAAATATCTGACAAAGATCTTCTTACCCAGTGGCATTGAGGTGTAAGTTACAAACACAAAGTATTCACAGTTACGTTCACACATATTTGTTCCACGAATATTCAACTTACTCTATGGGTATCTGGTTCGGCCACCTAGTGTTGTTCCTAAAACCATCTCAGCAGATATATTTCTAGAAAAACAAATATTCCTCATAAAAGGCAAAACAGAAGTACTCTTCTATACTCCAGATCATAGCATAGGAGAAACTGTAAAAATGTGCATGTATATTAGAAGACGGTCTTGAGATGGTGAGAGGTATTGCTTTTGCTTTTTATGTCCCATGTTTGTCCCTGGCGAGAATTAACAATAAGGACCAACTTCCCCATGGTTCAGCCAACTAGCTGCTCTTTTGTAGAGAAAAATAATAATTCCCTAAGAAGTAAAAGTGCAAGTAGTTACAGAAAATTGTACATAGTAGTTGCAGAGTAATCCCATTTAAAGCTCCCCAAGTTAAATTACAGGGGTGTATACCTTATGCATATGTGTTGGTAGAGCTGGGCAATCTGCATGGCCGTGGCACATGCACTGAGTTTATACCAAAGTTTTGATGTTGCTGTAGTTTCTTGCTTGCTCATGAAGGAACTGTGGTGGTGGCACGGTTGGTTGGCCTCCAAGGATGGTGCTGAAGGGTGGGCTACCTCTGTGACCAGTAACTCGTTCACTTAAACCTCTCAATTTAAGCACTCTGATCTAAATCCCTGGAGTCTAAATCTTTTTCACTTTAGTTGTTTTCTCAAATGGGGGACATTCAACTCATGAGGCCAAATTAAAAACAGAGTTTGTTAATAAAGAGTCCTATATTAAGAATATAAGACCGTGATGCCTGGAAGATGGTAGCACAAGTTACAGGCAAACTAAAATGCAGAAGGCACAAATATATGAAGAAAGTATACGTACAGATAACTGATTTTAGCTTGACTTCTGTCATTTTGCATGTTTGCAAATATGCACTGACTCTCTGGTTAAACACAACAAGTTTCCACTGCCTTCTGAACCAGTGCACTCATTTTGTCCTGTAACCACTTCAAAATCCATTAAGTACTGGCTCCAGGTTCACTGAGAAGAATTTAAAACACCACCATCCACTCTCAGATGGGAAGTGAAACAAAAATCAAAGCAGTTTCTGGAATTAAAAATGAAAGTCACTTGCAATGATGTTGCAATTGGGAACCAAAACTGGTGAGAACAGGCATTGCCACAGACCGGTAGGAGCAGAGGTGTGCACACCTTGGACCCTTTTTTCCTTGCAGCGTAAGTAGAAAATTGAGTTTGCTTGTTAACACAGGCAGCGGGACTCCCTAAAAGAGCAAGATGTTCTTGAAGACAGAGAAGTTCTGAACCTAGGGTAACTCAAGCAGTAGGAAAAGGAGAACCTGACAACCTTGTGAGATACAAGAGTTTGCTTCTGGGGAGGCACAGTTAGGTACAGTCTTGGAGAAACATAAGTCACAGGGGTTAACAGCGTGAGAGGGTGGAGGAAGGAGGATGGGTACATTCTCCTTGGTTCATTGTTTAACCATAAGAAACAGTCTTCCTTCAAGCATTTATATTAAATACCCCTTTCCTTTTAAAAAACACACAACCATTTTTCATTATTTCAGTGACAGTTGTAATTTGTTGAAGGTAAACTTTCTGCAGTCTAGTAGTCACTAAGCGTGTTGCATCAGAGGCCACCTCAAACATTGAGCAAGTATGCTGTTTTTAATTACGCACAAAATAGGGAAGAATATTAAATATCATCTCACAATATCATATACTGCATTAAGAGCTAGTATTTTTAGTCTTAGTAGCATTAAAAACAGTGGGAACTGTTTTCCCTAGGATCAGCCTGGCTCAGATTTGCAAAAAAGCTTGCATCTTAGTTTAGTTTTGGTTTATCTAGCTGGACAGAAAGAATATATTCTCCTTTTGGTCTTTCCCTTTCACAGTTGAGAAGTGGATTCACAGTACGAATAGCAGGAAAATTGACTGTTCTTTTCCATTCTGTTAGTTGAGATGGGAAGGAGGACTGGGAAAAAAAATTAGGTTTTAATGCAACTAAGAATTCTGATGCAGGGCACTGATTTTTTGTTTTGTGTCCTGTGGCCATTGTCCACCAAATAACACCAGAACACAACTTTCAAGAACTGCAGAGTCATCTAAGCCAACCAGGTTTATGCATTTTTCTTCCTACTATTGAATTTATTAGTTTGGCATTTAACTTACTGAGCAAGCCCTCTGTCATTTAAAAATCTGGCCCATTGTAATAAGGGAGCAATCCATCAGTTTGCTAACCATAGTTAATACTTCCTTCCTTTGATGTATTGCAAATGAAACGATTCCATATGTGGTCCCTCTAATTGTGTCAAGAACTTAAATACTTCTGGATCCTGAAGTCTAGTATAATTGCTGACACTTATTTGACTGCTCTACATTTCATTTCCAGTTAAATATTCTGTTGTTTGTCATACCTCTCTTGTCTTGGGACAGGTGCATGTGCTATATAAGACTTTAATAGACTGTTTCCATTCTAAAATTTTGGGATAAAGTTGCGGATTTTGGCCATTGTTTCCAAGTTAGATTAGTTGCCAGAATTGTCGTGACAAGGTATTACTTTAAGAATTCATAAGCTTACTTTGTGTCCCTTCAGGCCAAGTGCAAGAAGAATGGGGATGCAGAGAAATGGTTAGCCTTTTGGAGATCTAAGTATTGACAAGGAGAACAGGAAAATGCCAGGGGCAGGGGGAGTTAGCGAAGTAGATGTAAGGGGAGGAGCAGGAATACCTATTTTGGTCATAAATCAGTTCAAACATCTATGTCAGTTTAAGGATAACGTGAAACTGCGCCCCAAGTCAGCAAAGTCATTTGCCATTTGCTTCTCTGTTCTGCAAATACAGTGACAATTTTATGATCCATACATAGGACACAATCCTCATTTACATTTTCCTCTCCAACAGAACTTTTTAAATTCCAGTAGCTGCCCTGAAATTCAAGGTTTCTTGCATGTGAAAGAGCTGGGTAGGAAATCATGGAAGAAATTGTATGTGTGTTTGAGGAGATCAGGACTTTATTGTTCTACAAAAGGAACTTCAAAGGTAAGGTTAAAAAAAAAGTTGCACAGTACTAGCATGTGAAAGCATTTTCTGCTTTTATGGTGAGTATTTTTTGCTCTGGTTTTTAGATATCTGCACACAATGTTCCCGGTTTTTTATCACATAGAAAAGGATAAACAAGCCATGATCAAATGACAGTCAAGCCCTGGGCTCTCAATGCATGAAAATAGCTATATAGCATTGTTATATAATAAAACCAAACTAGCCAGACAACACCATTGTGGCCGCTGAAGTCGTGCTAACAAGGTTAGCAAGAGAAATGGTCTCCAATCACATGGTTCATGAATTTAGTTTAAATGATACCTTAGACAATATCGTATATTATCTAACTTTCAGATTTCTCTGGAGCAATGTAATAGGCTATGCCACTTTTAACATGATGTGTGTGAATAAGTATTTTGTCAGCTTCTTGTACAAAGCACCTTCTGCTAGTAGGCTGATACTTAAAAGGTGCCGTGCCGTGTCCACTGCAGGCTGCCGGAGTGTTCATACTGTGCCCTCTGTTGGGGGTTGGTCTTGAGAGACTGCAGAGCTTGCAGCAACGTCTCCCAAAATCTTACACTTACCTATGATAAAACACATTATTTCCCCAGGAGCCAAGACATTTGCAATTGTTGGCTGACCTAGAAGACAGCAACATCTTCTCACTGATAGCAGGCAAGAAGTTGTACAATGCACCTGCGGAGTATGGATTTTGTATAAAGGTAATTCTTCTCATTAAGTTCCTCCAAAGTTCAAGACAGTGTTGCTATCCCCAGCCCCCAGCTAAATGGGATTTGTATGTAAAACTCTGCAAGCATCTCTGTCGTGAGGACTTGATCTTTAATGTCTTTCATTTGGCAGGCATGTCCTGCGAATCTTGCCATCGTTTTATGTGACACTTTTAACACTTTATCTGGTGCTCCTTTGGCTTGGGAAATTTCTGGGCAAGATCAGCTCAGTGCTGAAGCATGGTGTGCCTGTGAGATGGCCTTGGTTCACCTCACAGATGAAATTTTTTTTCCAAGTACTCTAACTGAATAGGAAGGTTTCTCTGGACAGCGAGCACCAAAACTATACAGCAACAAAGGATCAAGCTCCGATCGGGTGTAATTGTACCATTATTGTGGGCCAGAGGTTTGCATTTATTTAAAGAAGATGATTTGTCTTGGAAAATGGAAATAAGACTAAGCACTTGCCTTTGAGGATTTTAAAAACTGTTGTGCTGAGAGATAGTTTGGAAAGTGTTTCAAAGCTCCATGTAATTTTCTGAGAAGAAAATAAGGCTGGGAGTGGGTTTTATTGACAGCAGTGAAGTTGTCTTTTTCCTAGCAGCCGAACCAGAGCTGGACAACATGGGTTTGCCTCAGAGAGTAGAGACCAGCTACGGGACAGATCCCGAACTGGTGGAAGCAGACCTTCAGTAACCTTCAGTTACAGAAACTTGGGTTCTTAATCTCAGAATGGGGGCTCATAAAACTTCTCACAGTTCTAAAAAAAAAAACCAAACCCAAACGCCTTGGTTCTGGTTCTAGCATGACCTGAGGACCTTGTTCCTGTAAACTGCCAGAACCGCAGGGTATTTCAAAGCAGACACTGATTATCTTAGTGGACCCAGCTGAGAAAGTGGTTTCTTTCAAAGCATGCTCAGCCTCTCCTGAGCTTTAGTTCAGCGTGGTGTGACCTTTTTCTGGCCAGTTCTTGGACTAACACTGTACCTGCCTTTACTCTGTTGCGTTTCTACTGAGTATAGCTGACTTCCCTCTAATTCTTTATAGCCCAACAGAGTGAGAAATGAAACAAAGGAGCTGAGGTTGTTGTGTGCTGAAGACGAGCAAAGCAGGACGTGCTGGATGACGGCCTTTCGACTCCTCAAGGTACCTGATCTCTTCCATGTGAATAGAGCTACACCTATAGTTAAGTTGCACTCATTATTTTGTTCATGAGGAAATACCTATATGTTCTTAAATGTCATCTGCCTCCAAAATGATACAGCTAAGAGCAAAATGCCAGGTAGACTTGTCCCTCCTAAGCTTTTAAGCACAGGACTGAGCTCAATTCCTTCCACATATGAATCAACTATAATTTTAGGTTTGGAGCCAAATTCATGATATGTGAATGAATCAAAAAAAACCCACTTAACAAGGTATTTGCAAATTATCATAAAGCTAAAGAAAATGTTTTGATAACGGTAAGTGGTTATCTTAACTAGAAGAGAGTTCTATCTAAAGCTTTTGCAATTTTTTCAGTTTTCTGAAGGTTCTATTAAAAAAAGGAAACAAAAATAAGCAACCCTACCTCTGGGTGAAAGTTACTCATATCTGAGAGCAAACAGTGAGATTTCTTCATAATATTATAGGAGGCTTCACAGGTTTTCTGAAACAAAATCACCGTGGAAGGAACTGAGGAGAAAGTTGACTATTTTGCACTCTTTGAAGCAGAGAACTCACTGACCTTCATAGAGAAATGTGCAGAAGTTTTGGGTTGGGTTGGTTTGTTTTGTTTTTAAATCTTCCCTTGAAGATGCTGCCTTGAAAACTACTGTGTTCTTCTCTGTACCTTACTACATCCTCCCTCATGTTAAAGGGAATATACACGTATATAAAAAAATGTACAGATAATGTGTTACCCATGAAAATCCCCCCTCTCTTCTGTGCAGTTATCCTACCCTCTAATATTCTGTGTCAAAGCATAACATACAAAATGTGATAAAAAGCAGAGGCATGCACGAAGTCGTACTGCGGTACTTGATACTAGATACACGTCCACCAAAATAGGATGGAGAACCTTGAGCTCAGTCACCTTTGGCTCTCTCGGTAGCAAACAGATAATGTCAGATTTGGAAATGAGGGCACGGCTGTTCCCTCCGGCCGCTGAGGTCAGCGCACCAGCGTCCCGCTGGCGGCTGCCGCCTGCCAGGCTGTGCCCAAAATGGGACACGTAACCCGGGGGCACGGCGAGCACTCGGTCTCCCTGTCCTGAATGAACAGAGTCGCCTTTCCTGCCGAAGTAGCAGCCCACGTCAGCAAAGCCTTCACAGCCCTCCCTGCCAAAATGCCCTTTTCCCCACCGGTGTTTCACACCCACCTGCTGAAGGAGGTGCGATCCTGCAGCACGCGTCCCAGGAGCTGCAAGGGAGCGGGTGCGTCAGGAGGAGTACGAGGTTTTGTCGCTCTCCGGTCCACGTGTGGCGTTGACTAGGAGAAGCCACGGATAGCCCTATTGCTGCGTGACCATTGTTGATTCCTCCCTTCCCTCTCAAAAAAGTTCAGCTCGTTTGTTTATCCTCAAGATATGAGAAGTGTTTGCTACTATTGCCTGCTCCTCTCCCTGTGCAGACTGTCCATCACGCAAAACCCTGTAAGCGTGGGGAAAGCAAATCAGACTCCCAGGGCTGCAGGTATGAAAATGCAGTGCCTGTTCTCCATCTACATTAAGTGGTCACCTTCCAAACCAGAGCACATCTCTTTGAACGCTCTCCAAATATTATCTCATTTGTTAATTATAAGAGATTGTGTGTTGCAGTACCGAAATTCCTATTTTAAGTTGCTACAAAAGCAGGTGCACTAGCCGTAGTATAGGCCAGGATGCAAGAAGCAATCCCAATTACAAGACGCGTATTTGATTTCTGTGGAGCCAATACCTCTGTTGGCTATCATAGTCTGCTCTGCGGTTACTTGACTTGACTCGTGTTTAATACATGCTAACAATTACGGTAAGAGGTTTAGTCTCCAGGCAATTCCAAGTGCTGCTTCTCAGCTGTCCTTTACTTTCCCTATTTACACAGAATTTTGCATTGTGGGGAAAGTGCTCAAACAGAGGATCCGATAATTGTAGTGAATTGTGCCTTGAAGATACCACTTGTTCTGAAGAAATTAGTTACACTGGTCGAGGCACTAATGTTGCCGAATGGCAAGGACAATACTTCGCAGTGTGCAGAATTGGCTATTCTTACCAAATATGTAGACATGCATCTTGCTGTGACCTTCCTTGTTCAGAGGAATCTTTCTTTGCAGTGCAACCTGTGCCAACAACAGTACTGTATGGCAGGAATTTCTGTATACTGGCATAGAACATTCACCCTTAGGCAGTTAACACTAGGGGAAAAAAAAGGTTTGTTTTTAAGGAACACTGAAAGATGATTAAAGGTGTATAGTCAGGGAAAATTAAGGCTGTGCCTCAAGGCTGTGGTCGTGACCCTCCTGTTTATTAACCTACTGATTTAGCTTTCCATAGTCATATATTACCTTGTTTACAAAATTATATATACCATTTCAATTAGAACATTCAGTAAGCGGTGTTGCTATACTTCAGCACTGTGCCCCTAGGGAAGGCACTGAGTAGGTGTTTTCCTACCATCCTAGCTACTAGTGTTGCTAAAGTTTATCACGTTCAACGAGAAGCATGACTGGAATTCAATCACCTTATTTTTGTAAGGATGAGAAAAGTACCAAAAGTGTTATTTCCTGCTGAAATTTATTAAAACAGCTAGTGAATCAGAAAGGTTCTTATTTTTTATCATTATGAAAACTGAGTTTGAATGTCTTATGCAGAATTTTTTTTTAAGTTCACATTACTAGAGGATAAAAAGCAGGGGAGTTAATACGTGTGTTCTGACCTCGAGTGAATGCTTGTATTCTATAAAATGTGGTGATAGCTGAGGGTGGCAGAAGTTACCTGTGTATTTCACTCAGGCTTGTAAAAGTGCTGTCTTTTAAATAAAACTTGTCATGCATATTTACTGCTCGATTGCCACGTGCCAATCATTATTACTTAATGCAAATTGCTTTGGGACAGCTTCTGATGATGAAAAAAATAAACTGGTGGCACCTTGCTCCAGTGTAAGTGGTATTATGAAATCACTACGGTTTTTTTTCCTAGGGTATATATTTGAATAATAACATCCTTGCATTTCTGTTGGCAGTATGGAATGCTACTGTATCAGAATTACAGAATTCCCCAGCAGAGAAAAGCCATGCTTCCCCACTTTTCCACTCCAGTAGTAAGTAATGAACTTTACCTCATTAATGTATGATGTTGGAAAAGATACATTTGCTTTTGCATTTTAAAAGTGGAAAATTTTACGCTAAGAAATGTAAATTGAGCATTGTGTAGCAAATCATTGTAAAGTTCACGTTTCACATGAGTATAGTTTACGTGGTTGGCTCTCCATTATCTTAGGCTTACATGATCCACATGATTGAAAAATCTTGGATACGTCAGGCACTTTTGAGATGTACAGTACTGAGACATCTGGCTGTCTCTGCAGAAGCCAGCTTAGGTCTGGCAAAACTAACACGTAAATTTCCTAAAATATGTTGGGCCAAGAGCTGACTTGTTAGCTATCTAAAAGTGAAGATCCTATATTTGGATCCCAACTGGCCCTGAAAATGACTGGAGTATAGTAATAGGGCAAATGGGCAACTTGAGCAATACAGATTTTATTCTCAGCCTTTGAATCCTCTCCCTCTCCTATGGCCTGAAAAGAAAAGCCATCTATTTTTGTGTCTGTGAATCTTTTGGAAGGGGGAAAAAAAATGAGATGTTTTTTCTGTGCTGTTGAAGGATAACTTTGGACAGTCTTCTGAAACCAAAACATTCTGAAATGAAACTCTCAAGCTGGTTTTTTCTTTCCCTGTTTTTTGAAACAAGTGAAAATTCCTTTTCAGAGAAGTGTATCTGAAAACTCACTAGTAGCAATGGATTTTTCGGGGCAAATAGGAAGAGTTATTGAAAATCCTGCTGAAGCACAGAGTGCTGCCTTGGAAGAAGGACATGCTTGGAGGGTAGCTATCTTCTCTTTTCTATTTTTGTAACTAGTAAGTGTCTGTTGAGAGCCAAAACACAGAGTGTGCTATGATGTTAGTGCAGTGCTGGTCACAGTATAGTTTAGCTCCGACCTGAAGCAATCACACTGCAAGCATGCAGATCTGAAAGTCAATATCCATCTTTAGCAAAACTGTCACATTCACAACAACCTTCTACCACTGCTTCTCTGTCCCCCTAGTGTCCAGAGGAAGGTTGAGGGGGAAAGCAGACCCACCAGAACTTTACTGCCAGTTTGCAAAACCAGTCTCTGAGGAGGAATATGTCAAATTAAATGCTTCCCCACATGGAAGAGGCTGGGGCTCTGACTAATGGCTTGCTCCCAGTAAGTTTAATTGCAGAATATACAAGAGGCAGGACCTCTTGCAATGAAAACTGATGTAACTTGTTTATAGTGTCTTGTGGACAGACAGCTGCAGTACAAGTTTTCCCACATGCTCGTCTCTTAGGGAACAGGAGTCATTACTGAAGCACTAGCTGGTGCTTTATGTACGGGAGGGAAATACTGCTTGATTTACTGAGTGCCTGGTGTTTTGCCTGAGCAGAAACATATCAGACTTTTCTTTTTTCTGTCTTTTTTTTTTCCTTTTTTTTTTTTAGATATTGAGCTTTCATCATTAACATCTGGCTTGTGTTTTAAGCCAACTGAAATGAGCTGCTGCTTGTAGATTAGCCCCCTTCAAAGTTGCATTTCTTTTTCTCATCCTTGCATTAAACTTGCCCAGCCCCCAGTTTCCTGTAAATTAAATCTGTATTGCATGTGCAGTAATTCTCTTCTGTTGAGGCTTTAGTGTGGATTTAACGGTAATTCATTTTCTCTGTAGAAACGTAGCACAAGAATGAACATCTTGGGTAGCCAAAGTCCACTCCATCCTTCCACACTGAGTACAGGTAAATTCTGCTGGTTTGTAAGCATAGTATCAGAGGCCTCTGTGGGTAAATAAAAGCTACATTTCATGTAGCGAGAGAGTGCAGTTGCGTAGTATTAATGCCTTGATGTCAAATGCTTACCAGTAGCTTGTGTCATTAACATGCTTACCCATACAGACTCAGTAGAAGGGACTTGTTTTCCTTTGAAAGCACGCTCAAGCTTTTCTTCAAGATTAATCTTTTGAAACTCAGGTTTTATAGAGACTCCATAAATCTTTCTGTTGAAAACAATCCAGAAGTCAATTCTTGGTTTTAGACAGGGAAAGTCAATGAGTGATCTGTTAATCTTTGAAGAGTAAAAATGAGAGTCTTCAAAATATCATTCAATCCATAATAACTGAATAATGTAAAATACAGATGCCTGTAATGCGAGTCCTGAACATCTCTTTGAGATTGTAAGTTTATCAAAATAATAGGAAATGTCGTATTAATATCCTGGACTTCTTAGAGGAAACACAGCTATTCTCTGTTTCTATTCTGTGTTTCTATTCGGTTAAACAGAATTTTAAAATACTATTTAAAAAACAATCAAATAATAAACAGAAAAATATTTGCGGGTAACTCTACCCTTGAAAGCACAAGCTAAAGTGCTTTTCATTATCGAGAGTTAAGGGGACTTGGTTCTGACTCGTTAGCTTATACATTGTATTCTAAGAATTGTTTAGTCCCAACATTTTCAAGAAGCTATGAAAAGGCAATATTATAAGAGATTTCTCTTGTTAACCTAGTCGTACATCTGCAAAGCAGAAAAATACATGGAGATAAGGCCCGTCTACTTGGTATATTAAGTAGATGCAACAGCTGGTGCATTCTTTTCATATTGATTCATTTTTTGCATAGATTGATGAAAGATATTTTATATTCTGTAACAAAACTATACCCACTTTTAAAATGTTTAAATAATTAGTGTGTGGAAAAAAGTGTTGCACGTGTTACTGTTTTTAACCATCCTCTCTTTCCCTCTTTTCCCTCTCGCCTCCAGTTATTCACAGGACACAGCACTGGTTTCATGGAAGAATCTCTAGAGAAGAATCTCACAGGATTATTAAGCAACAAGGGCTTGTAGATGGGTAGGTATTCCTGTTGCTTAGTATTTATGATCTGATGGTAAGCGTTACAGACAAGAGCACAGCTTCTGCTGTAGGGGTTTACAGGTTTGTGAGCACTTCTGAGTAACCTGATTCTTGAGCAGTCCCATTATAACCTCCCTGAATTTCAAAAAGTTAGAGTATGTGTTTGTAGGAGTGGGTTCTAACTCTTAATTTGAAAAATAAAATATTACGAAAACACTTAAACTTTCTTCTTTTTTCCAACAGAGGCAATCAAGTTTTAGAGAATGTTAGAATTTGAAAATAATTAATTCCTGTAATCTGCATTGAGGACATATTTTTCAGGCCACAGATTTGTAATCAGCTATTTGTGCTCTTTTGCATGAATCAGAGCAGTTAGTGATGATTTCTCACTATTTATTTCTGTTCTAGAGCAAAGAAATGAAAGTCCCTGTTCCAGTGCTCTCTAAAATGTCTGTAGTTGAGATTTAAGTACCTTCTGAGCATCTCTGTTTCCTTTATTTATATGTAGTTACAGTTATCGAAGGGAACTTGCTTCAGCTGCATTCAGCAGTTCTTTATTTGTGGGATGGGAAGAGCGTAGTTGCCTTCAGTTCACTAATCTCACTGCTGTCAGGATTAAGGTAGAAACTTCCATGTTGGCTTCTCAGGAGACAGTCAAGTTCAAACCTTTCTTCGGCATTATCTGGTTCAGGAGCATCACAAGTCTATGTGAAGAATGAAATACGTTAGAGAAGCAGAAATTGCTGGTGCTGCATGTACATATTCATCAAGCAGTGTTTTTTTATTGTTTGGGATTTTTTGCTGGGCTAGGGCTATTGGCTTTTAGCTTAGCAGGTCAAATAGAGAAGAGAGGCTGAGAAAGCAAAGGAACACTGCTGACTTGTTGGGTTTCTGGTTCTCTCACACTACAGATCTTCTTTACAGTCTTGGGCTCATTTTGACTTGTTGCCTTAGAAATCTAGTGGCCCATCCTTCTTGGGGTTTTTATAAATGTGTTAATGCCTTTGAGGCAGTGCTAAACTTGTGCCTAGCCAGCTTACTCGCTGTGGAAGGTGAAGATTGGTTAGTCTGGCTGTGGCGAGTTCAGTCAGCGGTGGCAAAAGAGCCATGTTACTTACATGCTCCGAGATCTAAGGATCGTGGTTTTCAGGACAGAAAAGTCTTGCCTGTGTTTTCCTGCTCTGTGTGTTCTTGAACAAAAGAAGGTAGAAAGTTAACAGGCTTTTGATGGCTCATGTAAGATGTTCAGCAATGTACATATGCAGCTGATACCGCTACCATTTGACTGTTTCTGGAAGCTATTGTTGAGGATGCATCTATCTTTATAGTCGTCGTTTATGCAGACAGCCTGTTGCTTGCCAGAGGTTGAGTAAACACTTGCAGGATCAGTTGTGCTGAGCTTTGCTTTGTGCCACCAGCTTATGATACCATGGTTATCTGAAATGGCTACATAAAATACGATTTAGAGATATCTGCATGAACCGCAGTAACCACAGGGCAGGTAAGGTCTTTCTCCCTGAGACTGATCCTAATGTGTGAAGTCTTTGGTCACTTTTCCACACATCTGGTCTTGCTAGGACTGAAAAGGAATGTTCAAATACCATGCATGGTTTCTGCTGATGGCAAGACATGCCTGTCTCCGAGTATTGGACTGACCCTGGTTATGATGGTGCGTTTTTGTGGTATTGACATTTCTCAATCGGTTCTGAGGAGCTGCAGTAACTTCTTTTGGGTTCACAAGACTACAAGTAGTTCTTGCAACCCAGCCTTGGAAAAGTGTGTTCCTGGCTTAGTGGTTAGCAATTAAGAGGGCTTGAGGCCTGCCCCAGTACTGTGCTTGGCCATCTCACAAATCCACTAGAGATTAGCGCTGTGAGCCTTATGCCAAAGGTATATTCTTGTTTCCTGTAGCATGGAGAGGTTCTCCTTCCTTAGTTCATAAATGTCAAGGGGAGGAAACATTTTTTGGCTAGATTTTTTTCTCCTCTTCTAAGTACATATTTAACCATTTCAATTAGGGCTTCAATTTTGTGGGTCAACTTAAAAGTGACAGTTGTGTAGAGTATGATGTTGCTAGCTATACTTCTAAAGTATATTCTTTTCCAGTGATGGTAAGGGAAAAATACTGTGTCTGTTTCAGAGGAAAAATCAGTGTCTTATTTTCCCCATCTTGATAATGTAGATGCTACTTAACAACTGATAAGTCATCTTAAGAAAGTATTGAGCTGTTTCTGTGCAATTGCAGCCATTTAACTTAAATGTAATTTTGCTGACACTGGATTTCTGTAAACTGATGCAAGAGAGTGGGAACAGATTCTCATGTATTACTTTTCCATCTACAGAAATCCAGATTTGCTTTGGAGTTAAATGGGAACATTTTCTTCATGAGAGTACATATCAGTAATGGAAAGCTTGGCTAGAGAGACCCTTAACAAAAGCCTCATACATACATTCACAGGGCAAGAACTACTGTCATGTATCTTTCATTTCTTGTTTCTTCATCTATTAGTGTTGCATAGCCATGGTATAAAAAATTGAAAGCAAATTGCTAGTTATGGAATCACCTGTTAATGCAACTAAAGAATAGTTAGGCAATAGCACAAAATAATGTAGTAGTTCTCATTATGTATGAAGAAACGGATTGTGGTATTCAGTGTGTACTTAAAAATGTTCTCTCCTAGACTGTTTCTTCTCCGGGACAGCCAAAGCAATCCAAAGGCATTTGTACTTACACTGTGCCATCATCAAAAAATAAAGCATTTTCAAATCTTGCCGGTAAGTAGATTATTTTTGATACTGATCACAAAAAAAGAAATTTTAAATCGTAAAGCTTTGCCAACATCTGAAGAGAACTCTTCTTAATTACTGATGTAATTAAGAGGGAAGTTTCCATTAGCAAGTGTATTGGCAAGTATTCTTTAGAATTGTCAAATGTCTGATTAAAATTCTTTGTTAACATTGCCTGGAAAACTAGTGTAAGTCACTTAGGTATAGAAGTAACGCACAGAAATTGTTCTCTGTGACTGACAGCAACCACAGCAGCAGTTGTCTCCCTGTCACTTAGGCAAATGTAGAATAACTTAGGGAAACTTTAAAAAGTTTTATTCTGGAGGTCACCCAATTACATTGAGCTTTAAATAACATTACACTGAGATGTCAAGAACCTGTTCGATTTTTATCTTGACCAAAAAGACTATCAGAACTTTAAGATGATGTACACCTCTTGATTGGTCCAAACCCTCTTCCCTTGCTTCACCTGCCAATTTTACAAACCGCTAAGAAATATTCTGGGGGTATTTTTGTTTTATGTAATGAAGATCAGTGCTGTCTCTACAACTTTCAATTACTTTGCCCATGAGCTTTCACTTTCATAAACAAAACATTTCAAGCTGGGTTAATGTATGTTCTTTTCCAGTGCTGCGCATGGTTTCATGAAGATCTCTGGGCACTAGGTTGTTTGGGCAGTGCCCACCGTTTATCTTACATCACACAGTGGTACTGTTTATGTTTTGCCACGTTTGCGTCTCTTCGTGTGCAGTCTAACGTGAAAACGATGTTTCGTTTCCCCAGTGTGAAGATGATGGACAGATATTTTTCAGCCTGGATGACGGGAACACCAAATTCAGTGATCTAATCCAGCTTGTTGAATTCTATCAACTAAACAAAGGAGTCTTGCCCTGCAAACTCAAACACCACTGCATCCGAGTGGCCTTATGACCTCAAATCTGACTCTCACTGAAGACTGGATTTGCTAGAAGAGTAATTGTAAGAGAACGTTGACACTGGGGAATTGGCAGATTTGTAAGTTGGTAAAAATAAATAAAAATATTATGCACCTTGGGACTCTGAAAGGGATGGATTCGACAGGTGCCAACAGACCAAGATTGCTGGTTTGTCTAACACCTAAGAGTGATTGCTGCTGAGTGTCCCAGCATCCCAAAAATGGGGGGAGGGTATGTAAAACCATGAGTAAATTTGAAACAAAACTGGAAACTATCTTGGCTGGGCCACTTAACAGGAACAAGTGTGAAGAGAAATCTTTGAAAAGAACTCTTGCCCTGGAATAATCTTGACAATTAAGACTAGTGTGTTTACTTTTTGTATTGATCACTTTTTTTGCACTCCTACTTTGTTTCGGATATTGTATGCAGCCTATATTAGGAGCTGATGTGGCTTTTAAAATTCATGCAGGAGTTGGGTATTAATCTGCACCCTAAAAATGTATGGAATGCTTCAGCCTAAAAGGATCTAGAAGAAAATCAAGAAGTGTGTGTGTGTGCACGCATGTGTCTCAAAACTTCTCTGGAGACCTGAGGTTTGATGATCTGCAGATGTCTTTGAAGAAGCAATGAGGATACAATTCTAAAAGAACATACCACCATATACATACTCTTAAAACTGTTGACTTGTAGCATTATGGCTGTAGTATGTTGATGGCATATTAGTGGCATCCAGTCATGCAAAGACTGTATTAGAATCTATGCACAAATTTTTATTATTGGAGTGGTGGTTTGTTTTTTACAGCCTTTTGACTGTTCTCCTGAGGAAACTTACTGTTACTAAATAGAATAGGACTGAATGACTACACTTGTATTTGAAACCACCATTTTTTGTGAGAAGATTCTTCTGCGGGTAGTCTTAGTATGACAAAATAAAATAATAAAAAAAAAAAACACAAAAAAAAACAAAACAGTGGTTTTAGCTTTATAGCTCCTTGAATTTTCAGACTGTTTCAAAGAGCTCTTTCCATATAGTAAAGCTACAGTGACACAAAGCTCTCCTGGGGAATAGGGCATAAAAAGAAATTAACCCCTTCTGCTTTCTGTAGGGCCATGAAAGTTTACATGGTAAGAAAGAACATACTGGGAATGGAAACACATTTGATTGTGAACTAGCTGCTGGCAATATCATCCATCAAGGTAACTGGTGATCCCTGTGTTACACATGCTAAAGCATGCCAGTACCTATGGCAGACAAGCATGTATCCTGCTCTGGTGCTGGTCTGTCATCAGAACTACTTTACTGTTAATGTTTAAATCAGTTATTTAATGTTTACACAATAACTCTTTCTGATGATAAATCAGTATTAAGTTAGACAAGTCCCACCTTGATCCTCCAATTGCAAATACCATTCTTTCAGCAACACGGTTGGTGCAGGAACTGTTACTGAATTAACTTCCCAGTACTTCATGCAGTTAGCCACAGTGAGAGGTATTCCACCCTGGGAACTTGCAGAGCGTAGTGCAGAATGGAGCATTCTTAAGATGGTAAATGATTTACGCAGGCTAGTTCATCCTTACTAATATTTGCCACTGGGTTTGAAATCCTAGCCATCTGAAAGGGTAAAGAAGGAAAACCAATCCTACACCTTTAGGTCTTCATGTAGTGTTGAGAATAGCTTAAGACAAACCATAACCTGCCTGAGTCGTCCATATCAGCTTATAACTATGTCAATGGTATAGAAACACTGTATTTTAGTTTACAGAACACATTTAGTATTTTTTTTTCCATTTAATGTCTAGATATTAAAAATGAAGAAACTTGATTTTGTTTTTAGTAGAAGCTTTTTTTTTTTAATTGTACATAGTGAAATGAGTGTTCCTGCTTTCTAGACAATGTATTTTAAAACCTTGAAATTAAGCTAACTTAAGTCTGACTTCACTTTGCATGCTTCTATTTGGCCCCTATTAGGAGAAAAAAGATACTTGTATTGACTACATTACCAGTTTAATAAGACCATTTATGCTGTAGTTTTAAGTTTTTCTGTTTACATAGCTTAGTGACAACCATGCATTTTTCCCAGTAGGCGGATAGTATTTGCAGTGTTTCATATTTATAAAAAAAACCTTGCATCTTATTTAAATTGAGAATAAAAGTTTGACTATGAATCATGATTTTTGTATGTAGATGGTTGACTTAGTATTTTGTACTTTTCCCAGCTAAAGTGAGCTGTTTTGAGAAAGTGACCACCTTCAAAGTGGCAACAATCTTACTTAAGCAGATCACTGCTTTGTCTTCTTTCTGCTGGAAAACAGTCAATACCACCTTAGTTTTCCAACAGATTCAGCTGGCTGCCAGCTCAGAATACCAAGGACTGAAGGACATTTGACTCTTATTTTTGTATTTAAATGACATGAATGTAAAGGGGATGCTCAGGGTTGTTTTGGAGCCTGTTGAATTTTTATCTTTTTGCCTGTGATTTTATTTTCTAAATAAATACTTCATGTAGCAATCTTGAATATGTTGAGAAGGAAAATGCCAAACCATTTTGGTAATGAGGTTACTAGTTAAGTTATGTTACGATAGGTGTTAAAGTACAAAAAACTTTTTATTTGTTAATTAATCTTGAAGAAACACGTGCCTCAGTTTAGATGTTTTGTCTTATCTTTTCTGCACTAAATACCTGACAGTTTGACCAATCAATGCACCTTTCCAGTGGCAAGACTTGCTTATCATAAATTATATTGTCACAATGCAAGATTTAGTGACTGTAAAATGGAATAAAGTTTAAAGTTTCAGGGAATGCAAAAGGTATTAACTTAAGAGACAAAACCTTTATTCAATATGCTTTGCTTCATACTGTAAATAGCTTTTTGGCTTGTGAACCTAATTGTAATCTTTCAGGTATTTTTGTACAAATAAGGGACTGATATTCTGTTTCTTGTAATTAGAAATAAACGTTAATACAATGCTATTCATTTTATATTGGAATTAATGTCGTCTTTTGGATACATCTGTACACCAGGTATGTCTTGCCTTAATTCTGCGTTATTTGGGGTGGGTTACATTAAGCAGCCTTTAAGAAGAGTTAATAGGAAAACAGAATCTCCAAGGTATCTTTATTCTGGCTGTTCTGTCTTATGATTTAAGACAGACCGTCCTTTATTTAAAAAAGAACTTGTTCATCCCTTTTGTTTGAGGAAAATTATTGGGGATATTCGCTATGATATTTACAGTATTCATTTGGGAAGGTTGCTAGAATCAAATCAGGAAATATACCATGAGCACCTTTTGGGTCATAAAGCTATAGCTCACTGAAAATGTATACTCTGCATAAAGCACTTTATTGACCTGATAGCTGTTGGATCAGAAAACTTCTTAATAGTACTTTCAAAAAGCAATTATTTATCCCTGTAATCCTTGTATTTGAGTGGTCCATCAGCATTTGGGTGGGAAAGCACATCTGCACAAAATATGGTTTTGCTTAAAAAAGCTATTTTGGGGAGGCAGAGATTGGTGGTTCTTCTGGTAGATAGAATAATAAAAGTTTGGCAATGTTTCACTTTTTTGTTGGATACAATCCTTCCCTTTTTCTGCCATGCTAATCTGTAGAAGCCATCAAATGCATTCCACTTCAAGCCTTAGTCACGCTCTGGCTTCTGCATGCTGCGTCTTCATGTGAGTTTGTAGTGCACTGGGGCATGAGTTGTATGTTAGCGTTATGAAATTCATTCATAGGCACATAAAGGCAGAGTACTTATCTTGGGCTTTGATATTCCCCAACATTTTTCTATCTGGAGGTGCATGTTGAAGTACTTAGAGTTCACTATCCTGCGTGCAGCAACTTACTCTTTCACTGAGTTGAACAAAGGGGACTGGACTGCTTGCTTACAGAAGGTTTGAAGATGCCTGTTTCTTGCCTAGCTGAGGAAGCTGTGCTAACATTGATACTGCCCCCCTCTGTAATCATTAAAATTTAGACCATAATTCCACACAAACCTGTCAAAAACAAACAAAAAAACCCCAACCCCCAAATGCCACCGTACCTTATTGTATATATTACATTTGGAACAGACAAGAAGATGGCGTGAAAAAGAAGCAGCATGATAAAAAGGTGCTGGTAAGCCTGCCTAATGGCAGGGCAGTGCTGCCTGCATGTTTGTCCGGACTGCCCACAATGGTGGCAAGTGCAAAACGATACCTGTGAAATCTGGCCCTAGACGTTAAGAGCGGGTACCTGTGCTGTCAGAACGTCACCAGTACAAAATTAGTCTGGGTCGGGAATGGGTATATGGTACAGATTTAAATTAATTGCCTGATAGAAGGTTTGTGCTGCTTTTACATTAGTTGCAGGACAACAGACGTAATCAGACATCTGATCCCACATGAAGCCTTCCAGCATGAAGTTCACCTGGCAAAACAGCTTAGATGCATTTGAACCTGAGAGTAAATTTGTATCAGACTAGTGTTTACAGCGTGTGGTTGCAGCACTTTTATCCTGATACACAGAACCCTAAAGTTACGTTTATTTTAACACCAAATCGCTGCTTCAGCCTGTACCCACCAAACCAGATGAGAAAAACATCACCAGATGAGCCATTTCCCTTCAAGTAAGTCGAACTTTAGATGACTTTGGGTTTGTGTTATTGCTAATTTAGTGATGCTTTAATCTGGTTTGCTAATGTCCAGCTTGTATATTGGTTTGTGTCTCCGGCATTGTTTGCCTAACATCTTGGAAACTTCAGTAACAGTATCGGCAGATGGAGAAAAGAGATATCTTCCTTTGAAATATCCACATTGCCTTAATTTGGATTGCTTCTGCATCCTAAATCTTACATCTTCCTTCCTTAACTTGGAGCACAATTTAATTAGTATTTGAAAACCTAATATAACCACAACTATGTCCAAGACCTATATGATTTTCATTAGATATTGCGATTAGTCACATCTGAGACTTCAAAATAAATTAGTTCATGTAACAGTCACATTGCAAACTCTTAGCCCGAAGACATTCTGCTGTAATTGCTCATCATTTTGCACAGATACGAGCAGATGTTTTAGTGAGAAAGATCGGATCATCGCAAGACACTGAGCTGTGATTAACAGGGTCTTAGGACACTTGTTGGTTACCCATGTTTTTATGCTTTGCTATAATCAGGTGTTTTCCATGTGTTGGCTGCAAGAGTCTGGTGCCCCAATTGGGGAACAGGAAGGTGAAATTATAAACACAGCTGCCAGCTCTGCGTCAAAGTACAGCCTGGGTTTATGGGCTCTGAAGCTCAGCTCAGCTGCAGTCAGAGGTATGGCTCTTAAGAAAAGAGTGCTCAGAAGAGCTAGACTGGGAGGGAAATGGAGCGGAGAAAAGAATTACTCTTGGGCGGTATTGTCCAAGTGATGGTTTGGGTGTGACTAGGAGCACAGCGAAGACAGCGGTGTGATGCCCGAGTGCTGCTCACCAGTCCCTTAGAGTCAGTTTCCCCTCCTCTTCCCTCAGACTTGTGAAGACACTTCTGCATAAAGACTCCCATTCTATTTGCCTTTTGAAACCCCTTCTGCAGAGGTCTAAGGATCGGCATTTGGGGTTATCAAGCAGAGAAATTGCTATGGAATTGGTGTTCAGAGGGT